GGCTCTGAACTGCAGCAAAGAAGAGTATGAAGATACCACTTGTCCTTCTTGGTCTATCGTAAGGATGTTTAATATAAGCCTGTCCCTCAGTCTGCAACTATGAAGATGAATTGTTAGGCCTCTTTTACAAAAAGATTGAACTTTTGGACCTGATGCATCTTGCTGTGTGCCCTGAGGATGGTAGCTGTTTTAAGAACACTCTCTCTGTTGGTTACAGTAATGTAGAATAATCCATACTGGCCATCAGAGTCAAGGATATAGAAGTGATAGCAGACATAAAAGTCAGGATACCAGACAAAAATTCTTTTGCAGGAGGTCTGACATTCTGTATTGTGGTAGAGGGAGCTTACTTATATAATGTATTCTATTGAAATAACCATACAGACAATACAGAAGTTTTTAAGTATAAGAAAAAGGAGAAGGTTCCATCACCAAGACACTCACAAACAGTATTACTCTTTGATGTGTTTCAAATCTTGTGTGTATGTCCATAAAACATTTGACTGCTATTTCTGTGCTTTGTTTTATATTTTTTTAAATGAAATCATATGTATTTTGTTAGTTTGTGACTTTTCATTAATTTTTTACTATGTAAATCATTTTATGCATAACTTTTAGTTTTAATAGACATAAACTAATAATGGGTATATGGAATTTATTTCAACTATTTCTCTACTGATGAACATTTACTTTGCCTCTAAATTTACTCTTTTACAAATAATACGTTAGTAAAATACCCTTACTAGCTTATTTATGATCTATTTTCTTACATGGTGGTTCATTTTCTCCTCATGTAGTCCCCTCATTTGTCCCACCACCACAGCACCCATTAACCATTACCATGGTCCCTTGTGCTCTTCCCTCTCCTGTGTGACCCCTCTCTTTTCCCCTCCCTTGCTGGATGCCTCAGATCTATGGTCAGTTTACAGGCTTTATCTTCCTAAAGCTCTGTTGGCTTCCATGTATTCCTTCTATAAGTGGAAACAGTTTTTTCTTTCTGACTTATTTCACTTAACAATTCCTTTCCTTGCGAGCTTTTAAAGACTAGATTTCTTGGCTCTGAATCAAGGCCAACAGTTTTGCTGAAGCTGTTGGTTTCAAGCAGGAGCCTAAAGAAATGTCTTTCTATGGTCTGTTGGCCATTTCAGACCTTTGGAAATGTAATGGTCAATTCATTAGAAAGAAACATCTGAGTGTGGGGGTGGAGATTAAAGTCTTATTTACAAAAGTTTATTTTACTAATTTTGCTACTAAGGCAGTTTTTTATAGAAAATAGATAAAAGCCAGTAATTGTTACAGATTGACCAAAATCACCTTTATAGTGAGTTTTTATCACTTTGCTGGGCCTAAGAACAATACTTAAGATCAGTGAAAAATCTTGACTGCAAATAGTGTGTTTATTTTGAGTGAAGTGTTGGAACAAATGTCTTCAAAAGTTGGTTTTGAAATTGGTCCCTGAATACTTAATTCATTTGTATAAGACTGCTTGCATTAAATGTTACGCTAAGAAGAAAATACCATGTTATTCAGTGTGGGCAGTATTTCAGACATCCTTGTGTAAAAATGGCAGGCCTTTGGTGCAAGTTGAAATATAAGACTACTTCTAATGTCTGTTACACTATACAGAAAAGTTGATATCTAAAATTGTTATAAAAATGATCTTCATAAATTTCGTCTCATATCTAGAACCTAATTAATTTGAGATTTTCCTTTTTAGTTTGTGTCCTTAGACTTCCTATAAGTAATTTTTTTGATGACAGATGGGTCTCGATTTAGTCATTTGTGAACTGAAAAAAGTGACACATGTCACATTGTGCTAGACACTGTGACTACTGCAGGATATTTAATTTGCATGAACAATACAGAGTTGGGTTTTTTTTTTTTTGTCTTTTTCTTATGTATACAGAGCTGGGGTGCAGGTCAGAGGTGCAGGGGCAGTGAGAGGATTCACCAGAGACAGAACAGACAAACTGACAAAGTGTACTACTAAGGGGAGCAGCAGGCTAGACAGGAGAGGTCTGCCGCACCATGTGGATCACCTCGGGGCTGGGCATCGAACTCACACTGAAGCAGCTGCATCTAGCTTGCAGTGCTGTGCTTTAACCTGCTGCGCCACCAGAGAGGACCCATAATACAGAGTATTAACTGAAATATTGCCAGGAAATTGCACCCGTAGGTCAAATCTATATCATTGTTTTATGGTATTGTAAAATATTCTGGCATAAATTTTCAACTGCATTCACAGGAAGAAGAGTACTGGTCACTAGACTTCCAATTTTAATTTTAATTTCCAGAGGTAGAGTAGGGCATTGACATAGAATTGATAACTTTTGACATAGAATTGATAACTTTGTATTGTGACAAGTAATGACATTTAATAAAAAATTATTTTTCTTTAATTTACTACATTCATTTACTACTCTCCCTATATCTTAAAAAATACTTTTGCACCATAAAAGGACATTCTCTCAAAAAAAAAAAAAAAAGGATAGTGACTTCAAATAGAATGTTTTTTGATTTTGTGTCATGGTCCTTTTTTTCCTTCTGCATCACTGTTTGGCACCTGAATGTAGACTGTCATTTGGGGCTATGTTGATACCATTTACCTAGTCTCTTAGAACAGGAAAGTTTTTCCTAATAACTTAGCCAACTGAATGATGAATTTTCTATTAATCTTAGACTCCTGCTTACCCTGATATAGTCACACTCCTCTCTCATAATGTAAAAATAAGTGACTATTTCCTTTATTAGTTCCAAAACACCTTATAAAGTTTTAAACTTAATGACAACTCTTTTATTCCTTCTAATAGGGTTTTTGTGCAACTAGTGTTAATAACTTTTCCATTCTTATAACTGAAAACATTCTGTATTATTTGAAAGCAGTATTGTTTTATATATATATATTTTTTGGTTGATACAAACCTTAATTGGCTTAACTATGTATTTATTGATTAAAAACCTTAATTGGTCCAACTGTGTGTATACTATTAGGTATTTCCACAATACTTTTGCAGGGAAAAGAAAGTCTCTTCTCAAAGTTTATCTTATTTATATAGTCCTCATTTTCTTTCCAGTTGCCCTGACAACCACTTCTCCCCCTTAAATAGTATTTTTTACAAAGTATGTTAGGGTAGACTAGACTAAGCTATGTCTATACTATCATAACGTAACTGAGAGTGGTCACATATAGAAAGAAAAATATATATATTGTATAGAAAAGAGTGCAGCCTGATTCGTAGCCACCTTTTTATTTTGAAATATAACCCATGCAAAGTTTAACACAAAAAAAAATATACAAACATGAATATACAGTTCAATAATTTATCACAAAGCGAAAGCAAATGTGGAATGACTGTCCAGGTTAAAAAGTAGAAAGTTGTCCCTCACTTTGAAATCTGCTTTGTCTCCCATCTAATTATTATCCATCTCCATCCAAAGAGATTGGACGTTACTGTAACTTCTTACACTATATCTTGATTTTCATTTTTGTGACTTTCCTAATGCCAGTGGGATCTATAGTGATAAGCCCTCTTTTTTCATTCCCAGTACTGTAATATGCGTCTTTTCTCTCCTTAAAATCTCACTACACAGCAATCCTTTTTATTAGTTTTGCAATGAACCAACTGTTGGCTGATTATATTTCTCTGTTTTTAAAGTTCTCTGATGCTTATATAGATGGTTTTTATATTTCATTCAGCTAGTTTACTTATTCTCAGTGGGAGGGAGGTTTTTCTGAAATCACCCTGTTCACTTAATGGAAGCAAAAGTTCCTCTTAGATTTCTTTTATAATTGATATAGTGTAGAACAGGTATGACTTTGCATTTAGGTGTTTTTAACATTACAAAACTTTTGTTTTTAACTATGGATTTAGTTTATATCTAGCTAACATACAAGAATTTTTTTTAAGAATTAATTTTTTATTGAGGTAACATTAGTTTTCTTAGTTTTCTGGTTGATGGTGGGATGAGCTTTATATCAGAATGCAGTTAAATATATCAAAATACACTTGTACTTAGCTTTTTTTTTTTCCCCTATTTTTTTTTTATTTT